GACTGCATTCGTGGGTACGAAGAGCAATTCCATACGATCATGAGCTTTAAACCACATGCGGATTGCATTATTCGCAGCCCACTACCCCAGTTGTTGCCCTTGGCATCTTCGTCACTGTGACTGTGGCGAGCAGACTATCCTCTGAGCCATGATAACGGTCATTCAACCCTCCCATATGCCAAACCGCGTGTGCTCCATCCGAGTCTCAGGTGTTTCTCTGTTTTCAGTAAAGTCTGTGCTGCACTACATCGGTGCCAGCAGGAAGCTACCTTCGTCCTAAAGCAAACTCAGCAAACCGGAAGACATGCGCACCTTACGGTTGGGGCGAATCGACGACAGGCCACAATGAAAGAGCTGCAAATGATATCTGCCCCAGCAGCTATCCAGTCTCGTGTTTAGCATGAAAGCTGGTGGTAACGAAGGTGACACAAGGCAAGAAGCATTTGGAGCACCTCGATACGCATTTGTCCACAGCACCTGTGTGGAGACATGAAATGTATGAAAATGTGATCCCACTTCCACTTCAACACCCACTGAGACAGAATTGAGGTAGATGTGGTTGGCTAGAGCTGAAGTGAGAAAAACGTGGCAAGAGTGGGCCGACTCCAAATCCTTTCCACTCGAAATCACGTTAAATCGTGGAATTATCTCTCTGGTCCAACTTCTATTATCTCAACATTATTTCCAAATTTAAAATAGAGTCAAAACACCGAAGGAAAGCTAACGTCACACCTTCAAAACTTGCCCAAATCCAATACGAACACTCATAGCTACTTTGCTTCATTCGATGTTTTTCGCAAATAAACTCATGCAATTAATCGGGTCATCGGCATTTTTTACAGTTCTTGCATTCTACTTCAAAATTTGTCAATAGCAGGACCAATTTGGGCGTTTTAATGATTATTCTTACTAGCTAAAATCGTAGTCTTGCGGGGTGGAAGACGTAGGCGTGGGTATAATACACTTATCAAGGGACTGGCAATATCAGTCGCGGGCGCATTGCCTCTTCTGAGTAGACTGACCACAGAGACATTTCAAAAACCCAATCGCTCTCCTTTTCCCCTAAATTTGTGCATTAAATCCAAGTCCCATGCCTTTAACTGCCCATAAAGACGTCTCAGGACACTACGACGAGGGTAATGGCACATATTGTCACTTCATTGCGAAACTCTTGCACTTGGATATTTCGGTAATAAGTTGTGTAGACAGAATTCTTGTCAAATAATCGGAAAAGTTGGGGGAAGCAAGGATTATTAGTAGTATATTAAAAAAGGTACACGACTGCTCAAGTAGTAGGCCGATGGAGCCTATTACCAATAGCGACACTTTTTCAGGATTATGCCTAGACCAATTGGCTGATTATTCCACTTGACTCGGCACACATCCCGTCTAGCTTAAAAAGAATGTGGTGCCGTGAATGATCTTACTTGACAAAGCGTGACCAGTGTAGAATTTATTTGATTATGGAAAAATAACGTCTCTAATTGTATTCCCTTTCCCTTGAAGTCCTTTGAACCGTCAGTTAAAGTTCCCGATAGCCTTAAAGCCTTTCGTTGTTTTCAATAGTTCGTTAAATTCAATTATGGGTAGTTTATTGGAGAGTTCCTGAAACCGAAAGAAGCCGTTATATCCAACAACAGTACGCATATTTTGTGCTCAAAGGGACTGGAGATGCAATAGTGGTGAAGTAAGCAAGCCCCTAAAGAATCCCACGAAAGAGAGAACAGCGAGCAAATTATGCCCACAAAAAGTAATTTCCATTCATTGCGCAACGTGATGTAGTCAGACGATGAAGTGCTTTTATGCGTCAGAGGAATGTCTGTGGTGTAGGGCATAAATAGTAAAGTTCTCTTGAAAGAGATTCCATGCCCGATCCGGATTCGAAACTGCATCAATCACAAGACCCACAATCAAGCCAGTAACTAATTGGAAACTATGGTAAAAGTAGAACATTTAACGTGTTCTCCTATACAAACAACCTCCAACAGTCCCAACATCTCTGTCCCACCTCATTAATTACCAGTTTCTGATGCAAATCTGATACGTCCGCCAGGCCAAGCTCAACTAATCCCCGTGGCGACGAAAACTTCGTCGAATTGACGTCCAATCCTCAACACTCACCACCTCATCTATTCGGACAACTCTTGACCTACCTACGGCTGACACACCCACTCCAACTCTGTCTGAAGTAAAGAACGACTGATGTATGAAGTATACACAATCGTATAATGACTACTTGGCGAAATTATATAGCAAGAATGCCCGGAGGACGAATGAGAGGGGCAAATATAATCCTGCAACGTACAAGATTAATGCAACCAAGAAGAGACCCCGAAGTAAATGGGATGGATTGAAAAATGATAGCCGATCAAGAGTTAATGGCCATAAGGGGTTCACAGTGTGGAGTGAAATATAGCATTTTCATGAATACAGATCCTCATCCGCCGCGCCTTGATTATAAGGGTTGCTTGAAGCAGGATTGGAGTGAGAACCTGAATTGCCTTGCTCAGAAGGAAATCTAAAACTCCCACCCATGCCGCGAGATTGCTGAAGAGTCTGTGCAAACATCTCGTACTTCCGAATATCATTATCTGTTACAGATCGACGAGCAAACCTCATGGCCTCTTCAAAGTGACGTCTCGTAATTTCAGGCACAGGATCACTTTCGGCTTCCATGGCTGATGGATTGTTCTGCCTTTCACGTTCCGCTCTTATTTCAGCCTCAATGGATTCACGAATAGCTTGTTTGCAGGCCCGTTGACAAATTTCCGTCAGGTCGGCACCAGAAAAGCCATTCGTGGCTTTAGCCAAGTAGTCGATATCAACGTCCTAAGAAATGGTTGCTGATATTAGAGACATCATAAGACAGTAAACCCATTAATAAAGAAATACTCACCTTAGCGACAGGCGACCGTCGTAGATTCGCCTTGAATATAGCAACTCTAGACTTCTCATCTGGTAGAGGAATGTATATTAGCTGATCGAGGCGACCCGGCCGAAGGATGGCGCCGTCAATGATATCAGGCCTGTTTGTAGCACCGATTATAAAAACATTTTTTTTTGGAGACATTCCATCCATCTCAGTTAAGAGTTGATTAATCACTCGGTCAGCAGCACCACCAGCGTCACCAACGCTACCACCACGAGCCTGTGATGGGAAGTGCAGAGATGAATAAGTTAGTCGGATTGTGTGACAGCTTGAACAACACTCACCTTAGCAATCGAGTCCAGTTCATCAAAGAAAAGAACACACGGAGCCGCCTGTCTTGCCTTATCAAATATGTCCCTCACATTGGCTTCTGACTCACCGAACCACATAGTCAGAAGCTCGGGACCCTTAATACTGATAAAGTTTGCTTGACACTCGTTAGCAATAGCTTTAGCTAACAAAGTTTTACCGCACCCAGGAGGTCCATAAAAGAGAACACCCTTACTAGGGGTCATTCCAAACTTGAGGAATAAGTCCGGGTGCTCCACCGGATACTGAACCATTTCTTGTAGCTCTCGCTTTACATTCTCCAAGCCGCCAATATCATCCCAAGTAACATTGGGAACTTCAACTGTAGTTTCCCGCAACGCGGAGGGATTGCTTTTACCAAGGGCCCATCGGAAGTCTTCCATCGTCACGGCAAGAGATTCCAAAACTTCGGCGTCGATTGTATCATCTTCAAGATCAATCAAATCCATCTTATTACGAATTTGCTGAAGAGCAGCTTCTGAGCACAAAGATGCAAGATCAGCACCAACATGACCATGAGCGTCGTTGGCAATTTGTTCTAGGTCAACATCCTCAGCGAGTTTCATGTTTTTGGTGTGAATACGGAGAACTTCCAAACGGCCCGTGGCATCCGGGATACCAATTTCAATTTCACGGTCAAAGCGACCAAACCGACGTAAGGCAGGATCAACACTGTTTGGTCTGTTAGTGGCGGCCATCACAATTACGTGACTCCTTTGTTTTAGACCATCCATTAGGGTAAGCAGCTGGGAAACTATTCTTCTTTCGACTTCACCGTGAGTCTTCTCTCTTTTCGGAGCAATAGCATCCAACTCATCGATAAATATAATAGCTGGGGAGTTCTTCTCAGCTTCTTCAAAGGCTTTTCGTAGGTTAGATTCAGATTCACCCGCTAACTTGGACATAATCTCCGGTCCGTTGATTAAGAAAAAAAAGCTTCCACTTTCGTTTGCAACAGCTCGAGCAATCAGAGTTTTGCCAGTTCCAGGAGGACCATAAAGGAGAATACCCCTCGGAGGCTTGACACCAATAGCTTTGAACAACTGTGGATGACGCAG